TGAAGTTAGAATAAATGCAGGAGATTGAGGACACAGAGTGCTTGCTACCGTGCCTGACACGTGGGGCCAACTAAATGTTAATTTTCCCCATCCCCATCATCATCCAGGGCGTTTTCAGGAAGTTTTCCCTTGGACTCTACTCAGCCATCAGGTATAAACACATCACACCGACGGAAGAAAACAGTCCGGCATACACCTGAAAGCCAAGTCATCAGTGTCACTATCGATTCATTATTTATGCAGGGGCGGATCACACAATAGTTGAGACCATTTTAGACAGAGACTCTTTTCCTCTCACGTTTTTTTATTTAAAGGGCATATATACAATGCCCTTTATGCTTTTATCGTGAATAACAAAGAAGTCAGAACACTGGCTGGTTTCTTCTAAGTTTTATTTTCACAGGACACATGAAATATTTATAATGCTTTCCTCTCACCACCAAAATCAATAAGCCGTTTGGAGGAGATGGCCAAGGTCAGACATCAGGTTTCCAACTGCAGTGGACTGTCACCAATCTGTCCAAAATGAGATGGTCTCAAGGTTCAGGTGATATTCGGTGCATTCCTTATCCCATGGCCCATCAGATTTCTCAGTCTCAGTGAGGACTAAATTCTGTCCTGTACACCTTCAAGCTAGGTAGAACCACTCTCCTTGCAGCGCAAGGCTCCTGAGGGGTGGCTGAAAACCACACAGCAGCTCTCTGCACAAACTGAGCGGCCTCAGGGCTCTGAAGGGCAGGTCAGGCCTACGCACTAAAGACTGAGCCGGGGTGCCATATCTATTGAGCAGGGCGAGGGTTTCAATGACAAACCTTCAGGAGCCAAAAGTGGCCCCACAGAAGATAAAAGGCTATGAAAGGCACAGGCAAACTCGGATTGAAATGGTGTTTCAAGCACAATACAGACAATATAGAATCCCAGCCCACAGCAAGATATCTCCAACTGACACTCGGACACCATTCTGGGGATAATTGCTTCTATTTTTCCTTTTGTGATAAAAACTGACTTACAGCCGGGCGGTGGTGGCGCATGCCTTTAATCCCAGCACTCGGGAGGCAGAGGCAGGCAGATCTCTATGAGTTCGAGGCCAGCCTGGACTACCAAGTGAGTCCCAGGAAAGGCGCAAAGCTACACAGAGAAACCCTGTCTCGAAAAAAAGCCCCCCCCCAAAAAAAAACTGACTTACAGGGAAAAAAATAAATAAAACCTGAAAGGTTATTCATACAGTGTATTATCTCTAGGTGATAAGGATGGTTTTTTAATTTTAATATATTTATTGTTTATCTGTATGCTCCAAATATTCTAAAATAGAAAATATATTTTATTACTTGTTTTGTTTTTTGAGGTAGGTGCTGCAAAGCTAGGCCTCTTTGACTTCAGCCTCTTGAGTACAAGGATTCCAGACATGCACCACATCAAGATTTTGCTTTTTTTTAAATACAAGATTAAACAATTAAATGGACATGATCAGCCACCTAGCTGTAGATAAAGAAACTAAGTACCAAACAAGAACTTTATCTTATTGTTCCCCGGAACCCCCAGGGCCCAATGCAAGCCACAGTAAGGAATGTCTAAACAGAAGACCAGGCAAGGTGGTGAGGCAGAGGCAGGCTGAGCTTAGTGAGGTCCAGGCCAGCCTGGTCTGCAAAATAAGTTCCAGATCAGCCAGGGCTAGAGTGAGATCCTGTCTCAAAAAGAAACAGAGAAAGAAGCAAAGACAGAGAGAAAACAGAAAGGACACTCTGGACACAGGCCAAAAAAAAAAAAAAAGCACAGTGAGATTCTGCTCAGTCCTCAGTAGTTCCAACGTGGCTGGACTCTCTCCTTGTAAGATCTCACTAGAACTTGCCTGGGGAGCCTCCTTCCAAGAAGAGCCCCTTGCTGGGTATAGGCTGTTTGGCCTGAACCATACATCACCCACTTTGTTATTTAATGTCCGTTGCTTGCCATTTGTGATAGTTTATACTGACTTACATTAGGCTATGGCATCCCATAGGAGACAAGCTTCCAGATTTACACCTATGGATATTATCTAGAGTAGGTCAGCCTTTAAGAATGCCTGGGAGGGATTTCCTTGATTAGGTTAACTGGGCTGTGAAGACTCATCCTTGGCAAGGGCAGCACCATTCTTTGGGTTTGGGTACTGCATCTGGATAAAAAGGAGGATGCTATCTGAGCAGGAGCATACATCCTTCTCTGCTTGGTGACGGCAGAGGCACTGTGGCCAGCTGCCTCACACTCCTGCCTCCAGGACTTTTCAGCTGTCATAGACTACCCCCGGAAACTGTGAGCCAAAAGAAATCCTTAGTCTCTTAAATTGCAACAGGAAAAACAAGGCAGGCACAACTAGACTCTGTCCCTCTACCCCCTCATCCAGCTCCTCTCTTTGCTGTGTTGCCCATTCAATTGGGAGTCGGGGTGTTTTATTCCTCAGCTTTTTCCTGTACAGATATCCAGCCCAACATATGAAGAGAATCTGGGGGACTTTTATCTCAGATCTCAGTGGCATTAAAATAACTACTTCCCAGAACAAGCAACACATGTTAATTTCCTGAGCACTAAGAACCTTATCATTGCTCTTTTGCTTCATTTCTTCATGCTGTGTGCATGAAGCTGATCAGGAATAACATGACAGCCCAGGGTCAGTGACTTTACAGGAGCTTATGACATGTGTGCTTATCAGCTTACTTTTCTTCTCATTTCTTAATATTCTTCCCTCTCTGCCCCAACTCTTTTTCCTTTTCCTCTCCCCCAACTCTCTGACAATGTGAATTTAAAAAAAAGGGGGGGGGACGAAGGAGGGTATAAACAAAGCAATTAATGAGAATTTAAGCCTTAAATGTGTTCTCATGAATGCCAGGTTTCTTTGGAGACCTTCACCCCTGCGACTTGCCTGGAGAACAAGTCGAGTCCAGTACGCCTGCTGTCAGTACCCAGGGTGTTCAGCACTACTGTCAGAAACCTTAGATCCCCAGCCAGCTGTAAAATATTCAGGGCCCCTCACACAGTGGAGTCTGGCTATCTGAGCTCGGCTCCTCCATCCATCATCACCCCACCACTGATAGGAGATGAGTTAACCTCTCCAATTCCCCCTGGGCAATAGGGGGATAAAAATGGTACCGACCTGACACAGCTTCTAGGAGAAAGGAATGAATTCAAACGTGTTTGGGTGACTAGACCAGTGGCTGCCACACAGTACTTGTGGGCCAGTTTTTCCTTTTTTAAGTCCTACTGACACTAATATTTCTCATTGTAAGTTACTAAGTCACCAAACTGATTTTCCTGGCAACTTCACTTATGTCTTGGCCTCACTTGTAAATCCCTGTGAAGTCAGTTCTTTCTAAATAGCAAAAATGTTTAGCCATGCTTTTTCTGGCTTACTAGGGGAAAAAGCAGAGATGTAGACAACAAAATAGTTCCCAGAGCCTATCTTCCATTTAGTAACAGGATGAATCCCAAACCACGCCCAAAGGTGCGTGAACACACAAGTTCGCAGATGCAACTCGCGACTTCTCTTTTAATGTGTCTGGAGGGTTGAAAAACTCACGACCTGATTCCGGGGACAATCTTCTAAATTAAGCGCTTTGTTTAGCTATCAAAGAACTCAGCATAGCTATACACTTGAGGTCCTGACTTACATCTGAGTTTACAAAACTGCCACCTCATACATCCGCATCTAAATTGCAAATTGCAAACTTCTCAGATTTCACGTCGAAGGCAGCCTCTAACCAGCACCGCCCTGACTCTGATCAGGCCAAAGCCAGTCTGAGCCACTTCCCTTACCCTTGGCCCTGGAAAATTTAAGTCGTCAAAGAATGCCTATTTCATAAACGTGTGTGCATTATTTTCAAATTCAGGGTCTTGATACTGCCACAAAAGAATAAAACTGAATAGTTATTAAATTTCGAGTGACTGACCAAAAGAAAAAAAAAAACCCTCAAGGGAAAAAAAACCACTGAAGCAGCATAAGCTGCCATATAGGATGATGTAAATGGCTCGTTTCAAGTTTCAGCCTTTGCAATACCAAAGTTGCAGACTGGGGGGGGAAAAAGAGCTGGGAATTCGTCAGTCATTAATCTCCCACTTTCCTACGAGTTCTGTTAATTACCTATCCAATGAAAGCTCCTACGAGTTTATTTGGCCGAACTGAAATATAGCAGTCCCTTTAAATTCTCTCGTATCTTTACATCACAGAAAACACTCTAAGAACAACGTTTAAAAAGTGAACCAGGAAGAGTGGTCAAGTTTTGCTTTGAGGAACTTCGGGCTCTCTCCAATTTAGTTCACCAGAGTCACCCTAAGCAAAGCACTGGGACGCACGACAGAGCGACAGTGCCCCAATCGAAGAGCGGAGAGGGTAGGGGGCCAGACTGTCTCGCTGGCAGCCCGGGTGCAGCTCTTCAAATCTGCCCGGAGACCTCCAGTCCCCAGCCTGCTCTCCTCCGGGCCCCGCAGGCAGCGGGCGCAAACCCCACCCAGCCGCAGCGCACTTCCCGTTCGCCGGCCGGTCAAGAACTCCAACTTGACAGCGACACGCTGAGCTATGAGGAAGTGGCCGCGACCTAGGTGCTTGTCACCACTTCGCTGGCACGTCCTGGCGAGCCGTGCGGAGGGAGCCCGAGAGCGCTCCACGCGAACTCCTGCGCTGCGCCCCGCAGCCTGGAGATCCGCACGCGCAGCGCGCAGAGTTTCTTACCTGGTTTGACCGGTTTGGGAGGTGGCTTGGACATGGCGCTTCGTGGAGCGGCCAGGCTCAGCCGCGGGAGCCCCACACGCAGACGGGAACTGGGCGCCAAGCCTGCGCTGGCCGCGGCCGCTCGGGACCCGCGCGCAGCCGATGCGGGACACTCGGACCAGCGAGCTCCGCAGACCGCCCTGCCTTCCCACCAGGAAGTGGCCGCGCCTCGCCGGCCGCTGATTGGCTGCGGCGGGCAGCCCCGGCGGAGTCTCGGAGGTCCAACCTGCTTGGGAGCGCTGGGGCCCCGCCCTCCTCCGTGGGGGAGGAGCCTCAGGTGGCCACGCCCCCGGGCCCTGCTTGGCTGGGAATATGAAAGCGGGTAGAGTGCTTGCACAGTCCGGGTGAGCCACCAGCAGTGGTTCCCTCCTGCGGCCTGTTCTGCGGCCCTGCTGGGGAGGACTCGAACCCGCTTCGGTGAGTACTCAACTGCCCGCTGCGTAGCCACGCCGAGGCCTGGGCACCTTCCAGTCTCCTGCGCGGGACCCGGAACCTGATTGCGTCTAGGGAAACCGCGTTAGGACTCGCGCACCTAAGGTGCGGCTCGCTACCGCTCTTCACTGCACCGGCGCTAGCTCTAGGTGACCACACATTTGCTGGTGGGAGAACTGGGTCTTGATTCCCACGGGACAGGTCGCCCCTTTCTGCAGCATTTGGTTAACAAATTCCAATCCACTTGTTACCTGGCTTTTATAAAGCCTTCTAAGAATGCTTTTGGTGTTTTTAATAGCTGAGACAAAAGCAAAAGCATAGTGTTTTGTGGCATGTGGCACATGAAAGTTAGGGGAAACTTAAATCTCCGTGTCTGTTAAATTTTATTAGAACACACTAAGCTCGTTTTCTTATGCATTGACTGTGACCGCTTTGTCATTACAACTTGAATAGTTGCCCATGCAGCCAAAACTATGTACTGTCTGGTACTTGACAAAAGTTGCCCAAGCTTAACCTAACAGCTCATCTCTTGAGATTGTATTCACGCACACATAAACTCACAATGTTATGATCAGTATTATATGGCTAGTGCATATTAGGGGAAAGAAAAATAAAAATGAAAAGATTGGTTACATAAGAAACTACAGGGTCAGCAAGATGGTTCAGCTGCGAAACCTGATGACCCGAGTTCAATCTTCAGCACCCCCACGATGGAAAAAGGACTCCCACAAATAGACCTATGACCTCTACATGTGTACTGTGGTGACCCATGGCATACACACCACGTAAATACAAATGTAATAAAGCATTAAAAAAAAAAAAACCTTCATAAAATGGAGTGTCAAAGTGACTACTGAAGGTTAATTTTAAAATAAAGTGAGTGAAACTTCAAGAGGCATAGGTTACCAGGAGCTTTGTGGTGGCCATACTCCTGGGCCTTGCTTACCAGGGCAGCTGTGGGAGATTTCTGTTTACCAAAAGGGATCAAAGTTTAACTTAGTAGCAAGAGATTGTCCTGTTCATGAGAGAATATTCAGATCACTGTTGAATAAAACAAACAGAAGTCCTGAAAACATGTGTGTTGAACTCGTCTGAAGAGCACATGTGTTTTTCCTCATCATCTCTCAGATTTTGTGGTGCAGTGACTGTCTTCTTCCAGCGTGCTGGTTTGTCACATGCCCCTGGGAGCTTTCTGTACTTTAGAATTCAAAGTAAACCATGTTTAGAAGTGGAGTAGATCATATATAAACGTAAGACAACTATGAAAAAGATTCAACATTTCACTAAGAGTAAATCAAAAGTATTTTTAAAAATTCTGTAAGTGAGCCAGTCTTGTGATGCATGCCTATGATCCTGGCACTTAGAGGTAGGTAGCTTTGCCACAGAAGCAGCCTTGACTGTAGCAAGTTCCTGACCAACCCGGGCTACACAGTGAGATTCTGTCTCAAAAGTGTAATAGTAAATAAATGTGAAAGAAATATAAGTGACTCAGTTAAGGTTTGCTCCTGTCTGAGTCTGTTTTCTCTGCTCCCCGTGTCCCTGGGCAAATGGTCTTTGCTGCTGAGTAAAAGAAACTGCATAAATACCACTCAAGATTCAAGGTGATAAGACACGCTGATTTCATAACTCTGGAAAGTTCAAAAGGTTGTTTCTCCAGAGGCAACATAAGAATTACAGTTTATCTTTGCTCCAAGTTGTATGTGCTTCATAACATACTCTGCTGCAAGGCCAGATTTAGAGGTGCACACCTGTAATGCCACCACTTGAATGGTAGAGGCGAGGGGATCAATATAAGGTCATCCATCTTCCACTACATAGCCACGATAAGGCCAGGCTGAGCCACATGAAAAGCCCCCAAAACAAACAATCCTTCTGCATGCATATATATACATATATGCATGACAACTCTTGATTGCAATTTGTTAAAAATTTGGGTTTTAAACCATATTTGAAGAGGTCCTAACTTAGGATGAAAGGGAAGTTGCTGGTGCCATGTCTGAGCCTAGAGTGAATTGCCATGTGAATCCAACAGGTTTTGAAATGGACAGCTTCAGGGATTGGTAGGCTGCTCACTGCTCCACTGCCACTCAGCCTGGCCCCAGCCTTGTTTCTGCATGGCCCAGTTCTCCTCCTCTCCCACATTGTCACCTGCTCATTGCTGTAAGATAGGTCCAGCATTTACCCAAACACTGCTTTTTATAGTCCCAGGTTGCTAACTAATGTAGACCTAGAGTACCTGGGTTTTAAACCTTTCACTTATTTAGTGTTTATGTGGACACACACGAGTGCCATGCAGAGGTCAGAGGGCAATTCAGACGAGTCAGTCACTTCCATATGAGTCCTGGGGATCGAACCCCAGTCATCAAGCTAGTAGTGAGTAACTCAGGTCATCAGGCTTGGGGGTGGGATGCTGTTTTGATTTGAGAGAGAAAACAGCCTTGCATTTCCTTATGTGGCTGTGGGAGTTTCTACCTCTCTTACCCAAAGGTTCTTCCACCTCATTCCTCATCTCTGAATTGCTAGAGTTCCCACAGAGGTAACCCCCTCAAGTCTTCGTAGTACCACGACCAGTCATTATTTACATCCTATGTAATTGAGGCAATATCCTGATGAATGTGCACAAATATGTCAGGCGAGAAGGGGACCAGAATTTTCCAATAACTGTGTACAGCAAATGCATGGCTTTTCAATAATACATCAATAAGTATGACTTGGATTATCCACCAGAGTCTGACAACCCAGTACATGTGCAACATCCCTTTGTGCTCTTAGTAATGAAGCATTTCAGAGCCTCTCACAATGATAGGAAGATGCTCACTTGATTGATCTAGTTCCCTTTCTGGCTTTTCTAGAAATGGATATATGTCATTCCAGTCTGGGCCGGTTTGCACTTCTGCAAAGCTTGAGAATGTATGCTATTACCAGTGAAAGCTTTTCAGAGAGAGAGAGGGAGGGAATGAGAGACAGACTGGTCGCCCCTGGCGGCAGTGCCTCCTTTTACTAGGAAAGTAGAAAGGGCTTAGAGAGAGGTATATTCGTCAGAGTTCTCTAGAGGAACAGTACTTACAGGAGAAAGAAATATATATAAGGGATTTATTAGAATGGCTTCCAGGCTGTGGTCCAACTAGTCACAATGGCTGTCTGCCAACAGAAGGTCCAAGAATCCAGCAGTCTTTCAGTCCGTGAAGGTGGATGTCTCACCTCGTCTTCAGTATATGTCACAACTCCGAAGAAGTCAGCTCCAATAAGAGTGGAGGAGTGGAGTTGCCAGTGAGAGCGAGAGCAATGAGGGGAAAAGAGCAACCTCCTTTCTTCCATGTTCTTTCTACAGGCTGCCAGCAGAAGCTACATCTTCCCACCTCAGAAAATCTGGATTAAAAGTAGTTTCAGGGGACCTGACACCCATGGCAAAACACCAATTCACGTTACATAAAAATAAATAAATTTAAAAAAAAAAGGAAAAATGTAAAAGTAGGTTGTCCCCCTTCAAATGATTTAAGTAAGAAAAAAAAATCCCTCACAGATGTGGCCAGCTGCTTGGATTTTTGTTCATTCATAGTCAAGTTGACAACTAAGAGTAGTTGTCACAAGGTAACCCAGGGTAACAGGTCACGCAAGGGAGACATTAGTTAACAGGCCCTAAGGAAACACCAGCTATTGGCAACAGGAAGCCAGACAGTGTGGATAACGTGGGATTGAGGCCACTGATCCCCTCTCAGCTGTGACTTCTCTTCAGGATTAACTCTAGAGAACTAAATGATACTGATTTTATTTTTTATCTCTCTGTAATTTTAGGAAATATTAAGAAGACGTGATTTCCAAAGCCCATTATGAAAACATTTGTCATTGGAATTGGTGGGTGAGTAGTTCCTCCATAAACAGCTGGGCCACACACTCCAGACATCCAGATGGTGTTTCATGTGGCCATGGTGGAGAAAGCTGTGAGGAGTCCTAAGACTCAGGAGGGGACTGCTGTGTGAACCCCAGTGGGAGGGGAAAGGGTTTCCCAGGGAAGGAAGTGGTAGGGCCAGCAGTATTATCAACATTTCCATTTGTTTACTGGAGCTGAGACCTGATTGGTCACTCCTTTGCTTGAGGTCACTCCCTTCTTTTTTTGTGGCCAGCTTTGACCTGGGAATACAAGCTTCCTTCATTCCTCCAGCCCTCTTCCCCCACCTTTAGGGTAGCCAGGTGAACTATTTGGCTGGTTTACGTTACCCTGGTGTAATATTGGCCATGTATCCTCCGTCACAAGTATTCTAAATTGCGTGGTCATCTGACCTGTGGTGCCAGAGGCTGATGTACAAATGTGACATCAGCAGCAATGGGAAAGATATTACTTGTCTTGCTACTGGATTCTGTCTGTCATTCTTCATGTGTGTCTTATTGATAAGACATTTAAGATATTACAAATGTAATTTGAGAGAGATAATCTGTTGTGTTATTATATTACATCATACAGGAATCAATTAGGAGTCAGGTAGGACTGGGTGTAGTTGGGTAGCAGAGCATTTGCCTGCGTGTGTGAGGTCCTAGGTTCTAATCCCAGCATCAGACAAAGAAAAAAAAAACAGCAAGTAAGAGTGAATTGAGCATCAGAATGTGCTCTGTTGTGGCTTCTGTCTGCCCGGGGAGCCAGGGCTGTGTTATTCTGCAAGGCTACTCTTGTCTTCCTCTACATTTCACACTCACTGCCACTCTCCCATAGTAGGCCATCAATTCCTAATTATAATCTTCTAATTTTCCTCCACACATCTACTGGTTTAATCCTTGGTGGCTGGGGAGTGGGAGACCCATGCCATAGTTAAACTTTGCTTCCCACTCAAGCGATAAGCAGCTTCCTAAGCCCCACCTTCCTCAGCTGGAATCTGGGGGTATTAATATCACCTTGTTACCCAAGTATTCTCTCGTCTTGTTTGATGAACTGTGAACACTGGTTTCAGCCTCTGCTTGTACTTTGGCACCCTCCTACTACAAGAGGAGCTAAACGTTTATTTGTGAAGAAGGAAAGGAAAGCATCAGGTAGCCACTCACTTCCTCCCTCAGATCCTAAAGCCATGCTCTGGAGCTCTTCACATAGAGAGCTTGTGTGAAGGAGGTTCTGAGCTTGCTGACCGGGAAGAAGGGGTCCTGAGGCGTCACCTGACCCGCGGGGATGGTTACATTCCAAGCATGGATCACAGGCTCTGTGCCCAATGATGAAACTCTTTCGCAGCTAGTCCATTCCCTGCAGGACTCCTGTGGAAAGCACTTCCTTCTCTGTGTCTTCAGCTGAATCAGTGGGGAGGGGTCTATTTACTGTTGATTTAGTTACATGATCTTAAAGAGAAAGTATAAGAAATGACTGACACATTTTTCTGCCCAGATTTCTCAGACCATAGTAAAGTTTCCTCATTTTAAACAAAAGCTCGGTGTCTTGAATATGGACTTGCAGTATGGTTTAGAGACATTTTTTTTTTGTTAAAAAAGAGAAGGTCATATCAATGTTCTCAGTACCTACCTGTGTATTGTAAGGTAAAATGGACAGTCTTATTATTAATATCTTCTACTTTGCAGGTATAAGGTACGATAATTTATATCTAATAAGCATTTGGGGGGGGTGTTGTTATTGTTTGGTGGGATGGGTCTTTTTGGTGGTTTGGGGTTGGTTGTTTTTGTTTTAAATGCAGAGTTTCAATATGTAGCCCTTGCTGGCCTGGTACTCACTTTGTAGACCAGGGTGGCCTTGAACTCACAAGAGATCCACCCGCCTCTGGCTCCTGAGTACTAGAATTAAAGGCACACGCCACCATGCCCAGCCTCACAACAAGTACTTTGGATGAGTATATTTCTCTCTCTAGGTTATAAACATTGTCATGTTGGTCTTACCCAGAACTAATCATAGGTTCTTGCCAATAGATATACCGTCAGGAGTTTTGTGCTTTGAACATTTGGTGTGTGGTGAAATCTTGACCTCTTTTCGGGGCGACTTTAAATGCACAAAATAAGATACAGGAATACAAAGAAAAACTAACTTATTAACATGCAGATATAAAATATTTGTAAACAAATCTGTGACCTTGTGATAGTTCATTGCTAGTGTAATAAATAGCATATATTAAGTTTAAAACAATAATGAGCACCTGTGACACTTCAAGATACCCGCCCTCCTATAGCTCAGTGTGAAAAGGGGTGCCCCAAATCACAGGCACCGTCACTACAGTAAATTACTACTTATAATAAGAGGAGCTGCTAAATTCCTGTTAGAATTTAGTGAAAATGGTGCAGTCTCTTTCCTTTCAAATTCACAATGACCCTGAATTCTTTCACAGATCCTTTGGATATGACTGAGCTCTGAGCCAATCACATCTTTGCAAAAATGATAGAATAAGCCAGGCTTGGTGGCTAATACCTGTAATCCCAGTACTCAGGAGGTTAGGGTAAAAGGTTCACTGTAAATTCAAGCACAGCCTGGGCTACACAGTTAGGGGTCAATATGGACTGCAGAGCGACACCTGGTTCAAAGAAGAACCCACAAAGAAAAGAAAGAGTGGCTAGAGAAATCCTCTCACCTGCAGGAGAGAAGGAAACAGGACACATAAGTTAGTCTGGTACCCGTGCCTCCAGATGTCACAGCCCAGCCAGAGGAAACAAATAACTGACCTGATGGGAGAAGTGACCCTGGGCCTCTACATGGACCCCAGCTATAGAGAGAGGGGAAAGAGGCATGGCACAGGAAATGTGGGCTCTTGGTAGGTGGGCTTCTAATAGGCAGGGTTTTTTTCCTCTTTTTTTTTTTCCTGTGTGGTTAAAACAATCACAATGACTGTAGGCAGTTCTATAAACTTGCAGAAAGGCGTATCAAGGACTTCTCTGGAGTGTATATCGAACCCAGAACCGTTTAGATAGTGAAAACGTTGTTTTGCTTCCTGCACAGTGTAGATGAGCAATCTTACTAAATAAGAAACACAGAGCCAATTGCAAGGTTAAAAGCCCAAGAGGTCAGAGCAATAGCTAAGAGCTAAAAACCTTACCCTTCACTGCTGCTGCTGTCCTCCTCAGCAAGAGAGCTACTTCCTGTGTGTTTGTCTTTTTATAGACTTTCTATTCTTCCTTCTTATTGGTTGTAAACCCAACCACATGACCTCCTCATCATTGCCCATCTATACAGACCTTCAGGTCTTCTATGGTTGGTATTGAGATTAAAGGCGTGTGTCTCCATGCTGGTGGTATCCTTGAACACACAGAGATCTGCCTGTCATGTGATCAGGATTAAGGGCGTGTGCTACCACTGCCAGACTTCTGCTATGGCTTGCTATTAGCTCTGACCCCCAGGCAACTTTATTTATTAACATACAAATAAAATCACATTTCAGTACAAATAAAATATCACCATAGTACAGTGTCTGTGTTCTGAAGTTCTAGTGTCCAGTTCACTTACCTGACTGTCACTTGCCTCTTCCCATCCTACATTTGACTCTTACTGTTAGGGTGGCTTGTCTTTCAAACCTGTGATTGTTGCCTTAGAAACAAAACATGATCAGTGAAGATGAGAATTTCTGTCTCAAGCATTAAATATTGTTTTAAATATCCTTTTTAAAAAAATATTGTTGAAGAATGTTCCCTGTTCCCTAATGTCTTCTTGGGGCTCGTGTTTTTTTCTTGGCTTAGCGTGACAAATGGTGGGAAGACAACCCTGGCTAAGAACTTGCAGAAACACCTTCCCAATTGCAGCATAATATCCCAGGATGACTTCTTCAAGGTACGTATAAAGTCTCTTAGATAACTTATCTAACAGAAAAAGGTGTAATAACAAAGTTAATTAAATTATATCCAAAAGCTTTGGCTGAGGATGAACCTGGCAAATAGTGTTACCTGCCCACTAGATGGCACCATCTGTCAGTGACTGTCTTTGCTCTTGTTCCTCATTATCCAAAGCATTTATTAAAGGCTTAATTGTATAATTGCATCATTTCTGCCCTTCATACTGTTTTGATTTTATGTCCTATTGCTTTTCCAGCCAGAGTCTGAGATAGACACAGATGAAAATGGATTTTTGCAGTATGATGGTAAGTAGAGTCACTTGTAAATTTATTATGAGCTTATATTCATTTTCTTTCTCAAATCCAAAAGTCTCTCTCTATTAACATAATATTAAATGTTTAAATAGGGAGGGCAAGCAGGCTCCCTGGGTTAATGCACTTGTCACACAAGCCTGAAGACCTGAGTTTGATTCCCTTGAGCCTTTGTAAAGGTGGAAAGAGACACCTGCCTCCGCAAGATGTCCTCTGGTCCCTACAAGTGTGCTGTGGCATGCAGCTTCCCCCTACCCCCCCCACAAAGCCCCCCCCCCCACATCTCTCTCTCCTTCTCTCTCTCTCTCTCTACACACACACAAATAACTTATTTTGGATGATTAAATATCATTGTATTTTAAGCCTGCCTTTGTAGGTTTTTATGATCTCTGTTAACTATTTAAGTAAACAGAAATTTTCCTGAAGATGTATATTTCAAACTCAAAACTGGGATGGTAGATTTTTTTTTTCCAGAAGCTAGGACAGGGTAGGTTTGCCATCCTTCTGTCCATCCCTGACTCTGGCATATGGCATATGTGACTAGCCATGCTTACACTTTGACCCTCGCCCACCAGAATATTTCATCTACACCAGACTAAGCTTCCAGGCCTTCAGCTTCCCTTCCTGGTTGCAAAGCACCGGGAAGTGTGTTTGTTTGTTTTACTACTGAGAAAATCTTGGAATGTTTTTTTAGACTCGCTTTATTCTCTTGACCCAAGCTGATACTGTTTGGAAGTCAAAGAATTCAAGTCAGCTTGAAAGTATTTCTTTTCTTGCAGAGACTAGCATAATAGAGTTTTTGTTCTTACTGCCCTTTGTAATTAACAGGCTATCGTTAATATGTATGTAGACCAACAGAGGGTGCTCTCCTAAAAAGTCATGTAACAGGCTATCCTTAGAATGTATGTAGACCAACCAAGGGGACTTTCCTAAAATGTCATGCTCCTTATCTTCAACTTTGCGGGTCTGAGTATTCAGTGTTATATAACAGTTCTTGCAGACACACAGTAACTTTCAGACCAAGTCCTTTCTATATCAAAATCAATCTTTTTTTTTTTTTTTTTTTTACAGGGTTTCTTGTGTAGCTTTGCGCCTTTCCTGGAACTCACTTGGTAGCCCAGGCTGGCTTTGAACTCACAGAGATCCACCTGGCTCTGCCTCTGGAGTGCTGGGATTAAAGGCCAACTGCTCACCCCACCCCACCCCCAACCCCGGCAAGTTCAATCTTGATACACTGTTTTTTTCTCTTTCTTCCTTCCAAAAGTTAGAAAACATTTTGTAAAGGAAGATTGAAAAACCAATTTCAGCGATGACAAAGCATTATTGATGGCTCCCATTCATTGGGGAGTTCTCATAAACTAGCTAATAAAAAGGTAATATTCCAATAGAAAAAATGCAAGAAGAATGAGAATAAGCCTTCTAAAAAGCAGGAGGTCATCAAATAATTGCAATCACCTTTTCTCCAGTTCTCTAGTAAGCAAAGAATTTTAATGGAGGGATAATGACCCAATGGCGTGGCCTCATGCACATTACATGCAATTACAAACTAGTGCAAATATGTCACTCAAATGCCGTAAAATGTTCCAGCCATGAGTTCATGTATCCTATACCCAAGAGTCCATCTTTAGGGAAAAAACTTTTTAGGTAAATGTTGCAATGTAAAGTGAGTCCAGGTAGACTCAACATCTTTGTAACTACTAAAAGGACAGGTTCTTGAAGAAACTCCTTATGGAGTTTGCTTTCATTGTGGCAAGGTTAGCCACTAGGCAAAGAAACTGCTCTTGCCTTTGACTGCTGACAATGTGCTGTGCAGACTGGACATGCAGGACACACAGGAAAAAGAATGCTAAACTTTGCCAAAACAAGGCAGGGCAGTCCTTCAAAACTGCTGCTTCACAGAAGAGTCTGCCAGATATTCTGCAGGAGACAGAGGGAAGTGACTGAGGAACTTTGCCAACACAAGGCAGGACATTTCCTGCTTCACTGAAAAGTTAGTCAGATGTTCTGGGCCTGTAGGCTGAAGATGGATGCCACAACATTGCAGAGGAACTTTGGTGACTGTCCAGGCAGCAAGGTGTCTCTGTTTTTAGGTAATATTACATCCTTCTGGGTTTTTGATGGAGTTAAAGACTAAGTAATTAGAATTATAGTTTTCCTTAGTTATGATAGAAAGTAAATTAGGTAAAGAACTAAATAAATAAAAAGGTATTAGCTTTAGCATAGTAAAACTATACACAACAAAAACAATTATCAAGTAAGAATTACATTTACAGTAGACAGGCCCGGCGACGGAGACAAGCAGACACAGGTAGGCCTGTGGCGGCCCGCAGAGGTAGACGGGCCCGGCGGTGGCGGCTGACAGGGACATTCAATTCAGGCCCCAGCAGCCGGCAGAGACATACAGGCCCGCGGCGGGCCGCAGAGGCAGACAGACCCAGCAACAGCTGACAGGGACATACAGGCCCAGCGATGGAGATAAGCAGACTCGGCTTGGAACAGGGATGCCTCTAACCCCAACACCCGGGGAAGAAGCTATCTGCGTGGGACGGAACCAGAATGAATCTGAACACTCCGTCTGAGGACAACCCAGGGCCCAGCTGCTGATCCTGTGAAACCCAACAACTTGGAGGTGTTGGTGAGACTACCCCGC